TGCTCATCTTACATATCATTACTTATTTTATTTACCATTCTAAGCCTTCTATATTAACTTCCCCACATATTTCACACTTCTTACTTCTATCTTAATTAATCATCTTAATTTGAATCATTATATTTATATCTTTTGTCCATTTTTTATCATCCCTTTGTCTCATTCCTTATAAAAAAAAAAGAAAATAAGTTTCTCCTGAAATCATTAATCAGAGTATGATGCCTTTCTATCTCCCCCCTAAGTTAATCAAATTAATCTTTAAAATAATATCTAATACCCAATCCGATTTTGCTTGGTACATTCTATCTAACTAATACATCCAACATAATTAAGTACATAATTAGACAATAAATCCAAATATTAAAAAAAAGATACTATAATAAAAATTTTATAATAACATCAATACCATAGTCTTATTAAACTCTTTAATTAAAACAATATTCTAAACCTCCCCTATTATTAAGTTTTAAAGCCAATCATTTTTAAACATTTTAACATTTTAATCTCTTATCAACTCTTAAATCATTACAATACTACCATCTCATCTTATGTACCTTGCAAAATCTTTTTTTTTAAAAAAAAATTATACTTTATCCATTATCCAAGAAAAGTTTCTTTTTTTCATTTAATTTCAAGACATTGTAGCTTTTCTCCACCTTTTCCCTTTCTTTCTTCTCCCAACAAACCTTTCTACCCCCCCTTCTTCTAGCCTCTGCCTTGCCAGCTTCCCTTCTCTGTCGTATTCCTTTTCCCTTTTGTTTACTATCATCATATTGGTTTTGCACCTTATTTTTTCCTTTCTTAAATGTTTTTTTAGATCTTAAGTCCTTAAGTCCTTTAATTTTCTTCTTTTCTCTTCTTTTCTTTTCTTTCTCTCTTCCTTCTTTCTGGATCAAGTTCTGAGATTCATTAAAGATGGCTCCTTTCTTTCTTTCTTGTTCCTCTGCTGTCTTCATCTGTTGTAATGTTTGTTGATAATTAATAAGCGCTATTTCTAAGAAAAGGAAAGCTTCTTCCACACCATCTTTACCATTTTTTTTTGCTTGTTCATATTCTTTTCTTGGTTCCTCAACAGAAAGAGCCATTATAAATCTTTTCTTTTCTTTTCCCCTTCTTTCTTCTTACAACAACCAGAATATTCAAAAGAAAATAAAAAAAAATAAAACAGTCCCAAAGTTATCAGTCAGTCCAAACCAAGGCAGAATTCTCACTTTCTCCTTCTGGGGCAATATCAATCCAAGAGAAAGAAAGTCCAAATCTATTTAAAATCTTATTACAATATATTCTAGTCTTCAAATCCTTAAGGCATCTGCTCCAACAAATCTTAGCATACAAATGTTTTCTTTTTAATCCTCTCTCTTCCCACTCATCGCTTAAAACCAATTTTCACCTAAAAGAAATAGGTTTCTTAATATCCAGTTATTTATTCCGTAGGAAAAGAGGGAAAGCTATCCTTTCAGCACCTTCACAGCCGCTTTTTTCCTCTTCTGGCAGGTATTATTCAGAAAGTCATACTTTTCAGGAATTTTATTAGATATGTCTTAGAGTCCTAGGAGCCAAGAAAAACTTTCTCCTCTCAATCACTTTCTCCACTTCCTCCTGCGCATTCTTACCCGGCTGCCAGCTTCTTTGTGGCGGCCATTACAGACCGCCGCTGCACCGTCCTGGGAAAAGGGAGTTCTGCCGGCCAGGGAGGGAGTCTGCAGCACCCCCAAACCCTTCTCCGGATCCCCCCTACCTTCAGCTGCCCCTGCAGGGCAGCCTAGCTCCGTACCCGGCTGGGTCGGAGCCCCAAAAACGGCTAGCGCGGCAGGGATCGCGCAGCTTCACAAATCCCTGCCGCTCGCGAAGCCGACAAACCGGAAGTCAATACTGATACAGCTTTGATTATACTTGTAACAAACTGGCAGAGCATGGGGATATCCATGCCATATGGAACATACTACACAGGGATCTTAGTAGTGCATCTATCTTTGTGCTTCTTGAGCTCTTGGTGGCTTTCAATGCTTCTGAGCCAGCTTTGTGGGTTGGAGATCCGGGGAGACCATTTTACTGCAGTTCTCTTCTTTCTCCAGGGACTGTTTCAATTGATGTTTGTGGTTGGAGAGAAATTGCTTCCCAGGTCCCCTTTTGGTGGAGTACCTCAAGATTCTACTCTCTCTCCTCTACTTTTCAACATCTAATGAAACTGTTAGGTCATCAGTTTGTATTCAGTATCATCAGTATGCCCAATGTATGATGGTGATACCCAATAATGATACTCAATTGTGTATTGCAATTCTTGGCCAGCCAAGTTAGACTTTCAAGGTTCTACCCCTCAACAGTGTAGGAGGCTATGAAGTTTTTGATGGGAGTTTTTGATCTGTCTCCAATTTGATCATCCAAAATCAAATGCTGTGGGTATTTGGGCTGTCCAGATCTAAGGATATTTCATCTCTGGACTTGTATGTGGTGGAACTTCCCATTCCTGAGTACTGTGCAATTTAGGGCAGATGTGCAGAGCAGGTGGCCAGGAAGGCTTTTGCACAGTTTTATTTGGTGTGCCAAAGATACTCCATTTCCTATATAAAGAGCTGTTCAGACTGTCACTTGTGCCCTAGTCACCTCACAGCTTGACTACCACAATGTAGTCTACCTGAGGCTGACCTTGACAACTGCCCAGAAGCTTCAACTGATCCAGAATGCAGCAATGCAGGCAGTAATGGGAGTGTCTTTCTATGTCCATATAACATTTTGCTATGTGAGCTGCTCTGGGTTGCTAGTGTATTACCAGATGCAATTCAAATTGTTGGTTGCTATCTATAAAGCCCTATATGGCTTATGGTCTACTTACTCCAGGGATTGCCTGTTTCCCACAGTATCTGTCTGGCTGATCCAGTCTGGCAGTTTGGTGCTGTTTGGATGTCATCTATTGGGTTTCCAAAAGTGTGTCTTTTCTGTAGCAGCACTTTCCCCCTGAGATTCCAACATTCTTCACCTTACTGGTGTTTTGAAGGGCCTTGAAGAACCTGGTTCTTGGCCCAGGCTATTGACGAAAAAGAGTGAGGCCCTTTTCTTATTTTTCTTTGTTCCTATCTGGGTTTGTTACATCTGCCATCTTTGTTCCTTTGTATTGCTTTCTTGCTTTTAAATGTTTTTAACAATTTGTAGACCACCCAGAGGAGGTCTGACTCCTGACCCATCAGAAATCAGGCAAGAGATAAATTATAACCATAATAATTGCTGTGTTGTTATTGGTAATATTAGTAGCACCTGCTTAGGTTGACAACATAGAGAAGATGGGTCCAAAAATTCAGTAGTGCTGGGACAAGAGCAACATCTGTTGAAGTACAATCAGTTATAAGTATTGAAATCCGAGTGTGTTGTACATATTTTTTACATTGAAGAAGGAAAACATTGATAGGAAATAAAAACAGTTTCTAATATCCCTAAAAATTAACAGCACTACAATAAAATGTGGATATAATTCAAAGTGGGTTTAAAATTTTTGGCTGTTTTTATTGCACATTTGTATTTTATGTATTTATTGTAATGGCTGCATAGAAGTTTTTCTTTTAGGCTTCATTCATTTCCATATATGTGTTTTAAAAGGTCATCACACATTTTGTTAACATTATTTTTACAAGCTGGGATCTTTAAAAACTAGTGTAGTAATATCTGAGGAATTATATGCAGTTCTAAAAAAATGTGATGTGCCCTTTGAGCAATCAACATGCGTACCCCACTCCATAGCAAAACCTGGTTTTTTTATCTCTATACCCTGAACAGCATTGAAAAATAATTTTACTAAAAACAAAGCTAAAGATTTCAGAATATGAATACTGCATATATAAAAGAAATACAGTTGCTATATAATGCTTTCAAATGTTAACATCAGATCTTAAATAAAAATATCATTCCCTATTTTCAGCTATTCCTTTCATTATTTGATCGGAGTGGGACGACCGCTAATTCTACTTGGATGACCGCTAATTCTACTTTAATTTCAATGAATTAAATTACTCTGCAGTAATGTGTCCAATATATCCTAGAGTATTTTTTATGATTTTTTTTAAAGATACCAGAGCCAGAATTGAACTGACCTCCAATCAAAATTAGATATCAAAACTTGTAGTTCTGTTTTTATTGCTTCGACATGATCAAATATATAACTAGATAGAGAGATTGATTGGGCCCCTCTAAGTGATTGACTGTTATAAACTATGTGTTTGGGAGTTGTGTTTCTTTTAACTTCTATAATATTTATTTTCTCTTTCTTCCACTAAACAATTTAAAAACTAATAAAAACATTACTATGGAGCATACCTCTAACAGATTAAGTAAATTTTTAGATTACTTGATGAAAAATATTTTATTTAAAGACCATTAACTAAAATAAGACTAATATCTGGGATTTGGTTATTTATTTTATCCAGTTCATTTTCAAGGAGGCAAGAATGAATAATAAGTATATATTATGGTGGAAATAAAAAATGTGCATGCTTTTTTAAATTAAAGGAAGAGAGGACTTTGAAGGTGGCAAAAGAACAATAAATTAAGAAGTAAAAGATTCTAGAGGAAAAATCCTTCCATGGTGTATGATGTCAAGCTAGACAACGCTTTTTGCAGTATTTCCTAGTTTCAAGCTGTGTCCAAATGCTGGAGTCCCATAACATGTTATTTGGGACTCCTGGTTATTTAATACATGTTTTAAAGTGCTGCAAGAAAATTTACTTTTGATACTAATAGTAATCGTAAGATTACAGTTTCTTTACAGATACAGGCATGTTTTATAAAAAATGGCAGGGGGCCTATCATTCAATGAGGAAAGGAGTAATGGTAGATCAATCATAAAAAGAGTCATAAAAACATGTTTTCCCATATCCTAGAATGGCTTCTTGCCTATGACTGCTTTTTTTTACTGGAAGTTTTCTGGAAAGCTGAGTGAAAGCAAGATAAAAGGCATTTATACTTGTGGGAAATTGTTCATTCTTTTTTCTTTCTCTGCTTCCTGTTTCCAGCTGAAGTATACATAGGAATTAGAAAACCTGCAGAAGCCACTGCTTGTACTCAGGAAGCTGCTAACCTCTTTCCTATGTCTCACAATGTTCTCTACATGAGAGGTCAAGTGGCAGAACTTCGGGGAAATACTGATGAAGCCAAGCGTTGGTATGAAGAGGCCTTATCTATTAGCCCTACACATGTCAAAAGTATGCAAAGATTGGTAAGTTCAATTTATACAGCATAATGTAAAAAAATAGATAAGGTAGGTAAGTTCAATTTATACAGCATAATGTAAAAAAATAGATTTATTGCTTAAAATACTATAGGAATATCATTATCAAGTCAATAATTAGAATATATTCGACAACTGAACAAATATATGTGGGATAAATTCTGTTATCATGAACTCTTGAGCCATCTGATCTGCAATAGCGCTAATAACCACATTTAGAAAAGGAGAGAAAAATAGTTTTTTAAAATATGGTGATCTATCTTATTAGTGCTATGAAAATAGAGAAAATATGTTATATATTTGAAATAAAATAATAATATTCTGTAGGCAATGGGCCCAGTGTTGTACGACTGCAGCAATTGTAAATTGTTCATTAATATATTCACTTAATATTCATTTAGTGTAGTGTAATGTGGTGTTCTGTTCTGTTCTATTCATTGGGTATTTATTTTATCCTATTGAAATCAATCAACTGAAATCAGAATAAAATACTAGCATGCCAACCATGGGTTTAATTTCATGATCCTGTAAATTGCTGTGATATTCTCTATGTTGTCTATATTCTATATTTCCCATGTGTTTATAATTTCTTTTAAGAGTACATTATGAGTACGTTTGCTTTAGCTTGATGCCGGTTCATTTTCATAATGCGAATAAAAACTGTAAAAATTTAGGAGGTCTTATAGTTATTACTTTATTTGTTTGCTCAGCACAGATGAGATGAGATGGGACATCTCATTGCATGATTTCTTCTCATTCCAAATAGTTATAGTTTCTATCTAGCTATCGGTGTATCTGCATTCTTATATGTATGCACTTCCTCTCTGCTGGCAGCTCAGCAGAAGGATTGTCTCTGTATGCACATACAGAATTAGGAACAGCCTTGCAAAAGCTCAGGACTGCTTTAGTGTTGTAGGAATGCTTTGCCAGTGCAAATGCTTTATGAAATGTCTTTTCCAAATGCTTTGCACAACCCAATGATATATGCTATTAACTTCTTTTCTAGCTGGACCTTCAGTCAACGTACGAAACTTCTTAGATAACTTCTTAGTATTTTTTAAAAGTTTCAAGAAAAATCTCTGATTAAGTAAAGCAATATTAAATTAGTGTTTAATAATACTTTTTATTTTTCTTTATGTGCATTGGTTATAAACTTAATGGTATCCCATTATATCAGCGTGCCTATGACAGCATCAATTTATAGAACAGCCTTCCTCAACCTTGACAACTTTAAGCTGTGTGGACTTTGACTCCTAGAAAGATGCCTGGGGAATTGTGGCAGTTGAAATCCACACGACTTAAAGTTAAGGTTGGGAAATATGGTTTAGAATGAGATTTGTTTAAAAAAATAATTTGGCCATCATTCAGTCTATTTTAACAATCTTTCAGCCTATTTTGATCCTTTGTCTTACCTTTAGAGGATGTTGAAAGGCCTTTTTTAACAGAATAAGACAGTTGGAAGGAACCTTGGACATATTCTAATCCAACCCCCTGCTCAAGCAGGAGATACTATACCAGTGGTGGCTAACTGTGCCAAAAATTGTGCATGTGCTTGCATGCTTGCGCTCGCGTGCCAGCATCCAGAAGGCAATGCGCCCCCCCACACCCTATGCATGTGCACTCAATACACAGCCACCCGCCCGTTGCCGCCCCCTTACCTGCACTGTGCCTCACAGCTGATTTTTGGCCGGTTTGTGGCCTTTTTCGGCCTCCCAGAGGCTTGAGGAAGGCTTCTGCAGGCTTTGCAGGCCGAAAACTAGCCCCGTTTCATCACTTCTGGTATTTTCGGAAAAACAGGAAGTGATGAAACAGGGCTAGTTTTCGGCCTGCAAAGCCTGCAGAAGACTGCAAAAGCTTTCCTCAAGCCTTTGGAAGGCTGAAAAAGGCCTCAAAATAGCTGAAAATCAGCTGTGAGATGCGCACATACGCAGTGAGGTAAGTTTACCTGCAGCTCGCATGCCAGCACAAATGGCCATAGGTTCACCATCACGGTACTATATCATTCCAGACAAGCAACTGTCCAGTCTCTTCTTAAAAGCCTGTGATGGAGCACCCAGAATTTCTGAAGGCAAGCCATCCCACTAGTTAATTGTTCTCAACTGTTCAGAAATTTATCCTTAGTTCTTAGTACTTTTCTCCCTGATTAGTTTCCATCTATTGTTTCTTGACTTGCTTTTTGGTTGATCTCTTCTTCTGTGTGGCAACCCCTAAGATATTGGAACACTGCTGTCATGTCACTAGACTAGACAAAGATATAAAGAGGGGTCCTTGGTGCTCCTGTGAGCTTGCTGGTTTTCTTGCAGACGTTTCATTACCCAAACCATGTAACATCGTCAGTGCTAGTAAGGAGTGCTCTTTGCTGTTAGTTTATATTCTGGTGGCTTGCCTGTCAGTGTTGGTGGAAGTGGTCAGAGATTCTTTGGTTGGGTTGTTTATTGTTGGCTCTTTGCAGTTTCTTGATTGTTTGTCTGAAGTTAACCTTGGAGTTACTCTATACCAGGGGTCTCCAACCTTGGCGACTTTAAGCTCTATACTGATCTGGGTGCTGATTGCTGGTGAAAGGTGCTTAGGGGTTTTTTTGGTTCTCTTTTGGGCTGATGGATTGTCTCTTTTGCATAATCTATAGATGTTGTTAAAGATATAGTCTTTATATATAAAGACTATACCTTTATATATAAATATATAATATTTTAGATTGTGTGTGTGTGTGTGTGTGTGTGTGTGTGTGTGTGTGTGTAAAATATATAAGATATAAAGAGAAAAAAACTGGACTTTTCAAAGATAGGTTGAAAAAAAACCAGGATCTTCAGAAATTTATCTCAGAAAAGCTTGTCTTCTTTTTGCACTTTCATCCCAAAATCTTCTGATAATTTCCCCCAATTTGTCAAACACTTTCAAATTGTTTAGCAGTGTTATAGTTAATGAAACACTGTTCTGTAAGCATAGAATTAGAAGAACAGCGTGGGAACGAGAGTAAGGATTGTATCCTTGATATTATGTCTGTGTTATAATTCACATTCTCTACTGTGGGGAGAGAAAATTACTTCATCACAAAATTATCCTTTGGTAGTTAAGTTAATAATATTAGACTTATTATATGTTGATCTGTCCAACATAATTTTGTTATGTTAAAACTTCATTTCAGAATGCTTATTCAAAGTAAACCTGTAGTGCATAGAGCTCAATGGAAGAATTATAATCCTCCACTTTATCTGATTTCTTTATTCAAAATGAAAAGCTTGTTTCCTCAAAGGCTTCTGTAAATTATTCAGAGATGTTTTTCCTCATACATTCCTGAGGGAACGTATAAGACAAAAAAAATACAAAGGAATAGAGAATACAGGGAAGTATTTTTATGTTACCTTTCTGGCTTTTCAAGATAATTAAACACATTGATGAATGCCAAAGGGTGCCTTGTAAAGAAGGTAGGCGTTGTACCCGAAGTAGTACATTTCATTAAATAAAGGCTGTATATTACAATGTCTTTCTTTTCCAATTGAATTCACTTGAAATAAAGGGCCTCGACATGCACACTGCATTCCCCCAGAGACAAGAAGTTCTTATATTTTACTTGAGAGGCAGTGTAGAGATCAAGATCATGATTTCTATCCTGACTTAGGCAGGGAGTCAGCTGGATGATCTTGAGCCAGTCACTCATTTTCAACCCTAGGAAGAAGGCAAATGATGAACCATCACTGAAATTTTGCCATGAAAACTGCAAGGACTAGTCTAGATAGTCATCAGGAATCAGCACCTGAAGCAAAGGCACAAAAGAACCCCCCAGTTTTTCACGTAACATGTTTTGTTCCAAAGCTGTTGCTTTCCCAATTTATTAAAATGGATGCTAATGTGTCTTTCATTCATTGTTTATATAATCAATATCTCTCCTGTAGGTAGTTTCTAGTATAACATTAACTGCAATATTTTATTGTGGCCTGTGGTGAATAATATCATATTTCTCTTTCTATTTGAATAAACGTATCCTTTTCACTGAAAACATGCCTTGGGGCTCCTGAAGGAGGAGGAGAAGATATACTTCTTCTGCAGTAGTAATTAGAAGTGATGATTTTAATTGATAATAAATTGAATAAATACAATTAATCTCACTTGGGCAAAAATGTATCTTCAAACCAATTTAAGGTCCTTATTCTTATTTTCACTTGGCTGCCCCAGTGTTTTTTTGACATCTGTGATCTACTAGCTTGCTCAATAATTTGTTGGACTCATTTCATGTGCTTGGTTTAACAAATAGAAACCTTCAACGTATGTTGCCATATTTACCAAATTCACACATTTACTAATGAATCAGAAATTAAATTTTCAGTGTCGCAATAAAGTAATGAAATCAGTTCACTAATGCAGACAAAGACATTGTTTTATTTTACCATAAATACAAAATATAAAAATCTTTGGCTTAGAACTCCGTATCTTAGATGGACAGATTATTGGTGGTGATGGAAAACATCAAATATAGGGAGTTAATTTGCTAAGTCAGTGGTGCTCTTGGGATGCTAATCAGACAGAGCATGGGAGATTTTATGCTACTGATTAATTTTGTTTTAGCAGTAGCACAAGGTTTAAAAAACAGTTTTAGAGCAACTTTGGATAAAAGGAAGAAATGGATGTAATATAAATTGTCCAGAATTTAATTAACCACATCTCTTGATTGGTTAGGGATATTTGTCAGTATTTAGCAGACATAGTCTGTTTTTAACCACATTTTTAGCTCACTGCCTTTAGTATTTTTATGTCTGTTATAAAGAGACATTTTCATTATCCTTCCCCACTTTGCCAATCCCTCTTTACTAACTAACTAACTAACTAACTAACTAACTGGTTCTGTAAAGCGGTACACAGCAAACTACTCCTAAAACTAAAATCTTACGGTATCTCTGGACACCTGCATAACTGGATAGAAGCATTCCTGTCAAACATACAAAAAATGGTCAAAATTGGGAGTGTCCTATCAAATTCTGTACCTGTGAACA